AGAGAGAGAGAGAGAGAGAGAGAGAGAGAGAGAGAGAGAGAGAGAGAGAGAGAGAGAATGAGCAAGAGCCTTGTCCATCTTTTTGCCCTGTCTCATTGCCTGTGGGAGGGGTTGGGTCTGAAGCAAGTGTGTCTCTGTCCTTGTGGCCCCCAGGGTTCAGCCTCCCCTGGAAGTTATCAGTGAATACTTAGGAGAAAAAAAAAAGCAACCCTGGAATTGTGAGGAGAGAGGGAGGCAGATTGTCCCTTCAAAGCATTTTCTTCTTCCTTTTTATTTTTTAATTTCATTTTTTCTTTATCCAAAGAGCTGCAGAGCTGAAATAATTTATTTTGGATTTGAATAGGATGTGATAAGCCAAAGAAGGGGCGGACGGGGTGGACATGGTGGAGGCATTAGGTTTTAAATTAGTCATTTGATGCTGGTTTGGGGGGCCAGAGCAAGGACTCTGGCTGGCAATGTGGCGCCGTGTCCTTTAGCTGGCTGCAGAAGTGGTCTGGGTGGGAGAACACAGAGGGCTGCCAGAGTGGATACTGTAAAGGATTTGGGGTGAGGCATTGCAGGACTGCCTTCCTGGTTGCATTTTAGGATTTCCATGGGTCTCTTGCTTACTTCTCTGCTTCTGCTTATAAGCCCTGTGACTTTGGATGACTCTCTTTGCTTATCACAGCCTCAGTTTTCTTGTGTAAAATGGGGATAACAGTATCTATACTGTCACAAGTCTTGTGAACCTTTTTCTGTAAAAGGTCAGCTCACAAATGTTTATGTATGTGCAAGCTAGACAAGCTTTATTGAACCCCTCGGTTCGGCTGAGCATAATCAGAGTAAGGACAGGCATATAAATAAGTAGATGACAGCTGGCTATCTATCTAGTCCTTCCCCACTTAATGACAGGGATGAGCTCTGAGGAATGTGTTTGGTGTGATCTTTGTCATGTACGCATCATACAGCGTTATTGGTACAAACGAAGAAGGCTGTGACATCATTAGGCTGTGTCACCTGGTGGCACCACTTTCACAGATGTGGTGTTATTGACCAGAACACACTTACATAACACATGTCTGTATTTTTAAAAATTGCTATTTACAAAAACAGAGAGCAAGCAGCATTTAGCCTTCAGGCTGCAGGTTTGCAGACTCATGGGAAAAATTAAGCAGGGCCACATGTAAGAGGTACAAGTCTGTCACCTGCCCAGTCAGAAGTTCCTCAGTGTTCATTCTCCCCCTCAACTCAGTCTCCTTGAACTAAACCCTCTAAATCTCAGCCTGATGTTGCCACCTATCTTCTTAGAAGCCCCAAGAGCCTCCCTGCTGTGTGTACAAGGCTACCTAAATATCTTTTCTTGATGCTCAGGCCTGACACCCTCTGTTCTCACTAATCATTTTATCCTCTGCGCCAACTAGGTCCCTTATCCGTTCCTTGGTTAAGTCTGCTGGGCTTGTGGTTCTGGTCCTTTGAATTTGCTACTGGGTTCTTTCTTCCTTTTTCCACCCCCCTGTGAAGCTGTAAAACCCACTACAGAGGTCCCTTGCCTGGGAAGCCTCCTCTGAGCCCTGGCATAATTTGGAAGAAGTCTTTTCCTTTCATTCCAGGTTATTCTGAGAAGCTGGAACTTCATGTCCTAGAACATGGCCCTGGGTGGCCTAACTGGGGACAGAGAACAAAGGCTGTGACCATCTAAGCCTTCTAGAGGCCATTTCCTGGGAGCTTTCCTTTACCTTTGCCTTAGAGAGGATTAGGTTTGTTCTATTAAAAACTGTTCTTAAGGCTAAACGGAGGGTGGAGCACCCTTTAATCCCATATACTTATGAGGCACAGACAGAGAGATTTAGAGTTTCTGTCCAGACTGGGCTACTCAGGGAGGTCTTGCCACAAACAAAAACAAATAAATTAGGCTGTTTTTTAAAAAAGAATTTTTATGCTATCCTTTTCCATAGAGAGGAAGGGTGTGATATATGCAAGATAGGGAAAGGATTTTGCTGGCAGGGGAAATTTCTTTATAGTTGTGTTTCTAATTATTATTACTAGTGTTATTACTAATCACTCAAAACAGAGGCATTTCATTGTGACATTTTCAAATATATATTGTTGTACTTTGCTCAAATCTGCCATCCCTCATTACCCTTCTCCTGCCCTGATGTCCTTCCTCCCACCACTGTCGTGGAAGTGTTAATCCTTATTGTTACTTATCATTTTTCTAGTTGGTTGATCTGGGGCAAATTTCTTTACCTTTGCAAATTCATTTTCTTATCTTTCAATGAGGCAAATGCCTGTGTCACAGAATGGTCACAAGAATATTAAAAATAATAATTATAGTCATAGTGACAAATGTTTATTGAGTCCTGTCAGGATCCAGGACTGTGGTAAGAACTTTAGAAATGTTAACTCATTTGATCTTCATAGTGGCCCTGGCAATGAGTTCTATTTGTCCCCAGCTTCAGATGGAAATGTGGAGGCTTACAAAGGTCCTTAGCAAGTAACCTTGATGTGTGAACAGCCCTGTTCTAATTTCATTTCTGTTGTTGTTAAGGGAGAAAG